CCTGAACTGGCCCAATCTCTCCAGAAGTGAACCTGTAACATAGGACTTTGAAGTACCTTTAAATGCTAATCTCAAGACTCCCATAATCTATATATATAAAAGGCTAATATGCTAAATGTCCAGCCATCTGCTATGACATGCACTGACCACCAGGGGGAAGACACTCAATGCAGGAGCTGCCGAGCTGCAGTGACTTGGTAGTGGTGGTTCTCGGGTGACATACCCTGAAACCAGAGAGGAGGAAGCCCGATTCCTCATGGGGCCATGCAATTCCACCTTCGGCCATGGGTTATGTTGTTGCTGGGGCACTGTTAGCCTCCAATCTGGCTTACTGCACACTTGTGTTTGTGTTCCATTCTCTGTATTACAGCAGCTTTGCAGAGTGCCCTCTTCCATTCCGGGACCCCTTCAGGAATGTCTAAGAGCCAGTTTCAGCCCAATTCCTGCAGGCCAGGCCGAGGGACCCCACCTGCCAGAGGGACCTGCTCACTGTTCAGACGCTGGGGAGGGACTGCAGGAGGTTGGCTCCAGGGTGTGTCCAGCCCATCTTGCCCAGTCCTGCCCCCCTCTCACCCCCCGCCAACCTTCTAATTAATTTTCTTTCAAAGGTGCATGAATCCATGCACCAGATCACTAGTAAATATATATATGGATGCAACTGCTGCTCTTTGAAAGGAGTAATGGATTCGAGTTCAAACACCAAGGATTTGAGTCCTAGCTCTTCCTAGGCTTGTCCTTAGGATCAAGTGACTTAATACATAGAAACATTCTGCCAACTAAAAAGCGCTTCACAAGTCTTAGGTAATATTAAAAGTTGTGACATTTGGGCAGGTATTCAAAATGTTGGTGAGAGCTAATTTCTTTCCCCAGACTTCTCTATTTGAAATAAAAAGTTAATTTAAACGAATCATGCAAAGATATTGACACAGCTAAATTTGCTGCAAGCTGCTGGGATGGTTTTTAAACTTTTCCCTAAAACCCTGAAATGCTGGTTAATTTAGTTGCCTTGCCATCCAAATTACAAAGCAATTTGGGCATTTCAGTGCCCTTTTAGGAAGATAGTTGCTCTGGGTTAACATTAATGAGATTGCTCTCGATCTTGATGCCTTGTGTGTTCAGCAAATCAAGGCAGGTTTATTGGGCAAGAAAATAAATGGGTCAGCAAATGATGCTTGCTTTTCAATTTAGTGCATCCTTGAAACTAAATTTCTATAATATATAACCAAGGTTTAAAGCCCTGAATTCTGGCTAAGGGTCATCAAGAAAGAACAGTGAATATATTTAATTATGTTATTATTCTCATGACTAATAAATTAATAGCATTTGGATGGGGAAACAATTGCTTTTTAAATTAGTAGATTCTACTTTGATACTGAAACTATGAATAGATTCTAAAGGTGCTCTTGAGTGTTTCAAGTCTTTTTTTCCCCCCTTTTAATCCTCACCTGAATATATGTTTCCATTGATTCTAGAAAGAGAGAAAGGGAGAGGGCAGAGGGAGAAGAGGGAGAGATTGAGATTGAAGAGGGGGGAGAAAGAGAAAAAGAGAGAGAGAAAGAGAGAGAGAGAGAGATCAACATGAGAGAGAAACATTGATTCATTGTCTGCCACACATGCCTCCGATTGGGGATTGAACCTGCAACTCAGGTGTGTGTCCTGATGGGGAATCAAACCCTCGATTCTTTGGTGCATGGGACAATTTTCTAACCAACTGAATCACACTAATGAGGGCTCAAGCCTTTCATTTACCCTCACTCAAAGATACTTTTCCATTGGGTTTTGGAGAGAGTGGAAGGGAGAGGAAGAGAGAGAGAGAGAGAGAGAGAGAGAGAGAGAGAGAGAGAGAGAGAGAGAGAGAGAGAGAGAGAAGCAACACATAGATTGTTGGATAGAGCCTGCAACCAAGGTACATGCCCTTGACAGAATTGAACCTGGGACCCTTCAGTTCATGGGGTAACACTCAATCCACTGAGCCAAACTGGCAGGCTATAAAGTATTTTTTTTTGTTATTGTTCAGAACAACACATGAGCTAAAGTTTTAAGTAAAAGAAATATTAGTGGTTTCACTCTATTGCTATCCAATATTTGTACAAGTTCAATTATTGATCACAATAGTTACATATCAGAATTCCATAAAATTAACTTCTAGATCTCTAGGAAAAACTGTTCAGCCAGCCTCTCCTCCACTTAAGAGGAAGGCCTTGCTTTGCTATCGCTGTGGAGATATGTCTTTGGTCCAATGATTTGCTGCGGGAATGATAGTCTATTTTCAAGTTCAATTGGTAATTGTTTTTGCACAATTTAGTAGTTGATAATGATAAGTTAGATTAGGAAAGGCCCCCTTATTAGTCTTGATATCTGCTTATGCAATATGATGACAAATAGCCACATATGGCTATCGAACACTTGAAATGTGCCTAGTGTCTCTGAGGAATTGATTTTCTAAACTTAAACAGCCACATACAGCTAGTGGTCACTGCACTGGGCAGCACAACTCTATATCATCACAAGGAATACATGCATAGAAATTCCTCAGAGGGCTGACTTTCTAACAGCATAGTAAATATTCTAAGATTTTTTTTTTTTGACATCCAGAAGAATCAAAGACCTATACACAGAAGTGGCTGATTGATAAAATATATAATACAAAGCTAATAAATAATAAGAGTTTTAAGTAAATTTGAACTGTATTCATAAGAAAGCAGTCTAGATATGTGTAAGATATATCATTAGTTCCATAGATATCTAGGTCTTATTGCCTGGATGGATGCAAGGAGCCTATGAAATAACTTCTAAATTCACTGATTGGAAAACATTGTTCTGAAATTAAAAATAAGAAATAGATGCAAGGGTAATTAAAAGATAAAAAACAGTAAGAAGGCAAGTTCTTTTGAAGTATGGAAACACCTTCTCAACCAGTGTAGAAGAATCAAATGATGGAAGGCTATCAATGCTGGGGGGCAGCTGTGTGCACATGAGAGTTTGTGACACCTCTTTCATCATTTGGCTTCAGATCTTAAACTCCTACCACTTAGGGATCTTTTCCTTCAAGCACACAAAGCTTACTTTATCTTTAGTGTTCTTTTAAAACCTAGACATTTAAAAAAATTAGAGACTCTCAGTCTCAGTTCATATCAGAAGTCATGCCCAATGGCCAATTTCCTTCCCGATAGTTGCAGAATAGCTTGATTTAAAAATTAATATCCTCATTTAATTATTAGATATAAAACAAATCTCTTTCATAACATAACTGAGCCTCACTCACCCACTTTTTCCTTTTGCTCCATTTCTGTTGGAGGTACTTCATATCATGACCACAGGCAAAGGCTAAGGATAGGGTCGGGTAATGGTTCCCCAACCACTCAACCCACCCACTTAAACCTAAAATCTAAATGAAAACAATGTGTGTGTTACTTGGGCATGAAGACAGTCTCCTAGCACCTCAGGTCACCCACCCCAAACCCCTGCAGTTAGGAGTTCAGGATCTCCCACTGGCTGGCAAGGAGGGAGGAAACTAGACTGTATAATCATTGTGTCCATAATTCAATACCAAATCCATCTTGTGAATCTATAAAAAGTATATTTTGTGATTCCTAAACAACTTGGTTCTAGGTCAGTGCTACACCCCAAAGATACGGATGGCAAAGGAGGAGGGTTTCTTTTAGTACTGAAGCAAATCCTGAGTTATACACAAGAAAAAAAAGTTAAACTATATATTGTTATGAGTTAGCCTTCAAATAATATGCTAATGATTTCACATTGTCAAACACTCATGTATTCCATAATCCCACCAGCTCTTAAAAATAAGATTACTGTTTCAAGTAATTGCTCTAGATGGAATTAAAAATGTTCCTATGAATTAAAAATGAGCAACTAGGTCGGGAGTGGCAGTGACCAGACCCGGAGCAGCTGGTTGTGGAACGCACCAGAGCAACAGAGGCCAGGCCCTGAGCAGCCAGGCCTGGAACAGCTCGCTCCTCGCCTGCCCCTGCCCCACGGCTGCCTCTCAGACATGGCTGGAAACTTTCGTGGGAACTTGAGGGTCTGCTGAATCAAGTGATGAAGGCTTAGATCTGGATGTGTTGAGTTAGTATAGGGCTGGGGTGTTGATCTGTGAGTGCCTTGGGTGAGGCTGGTGGACCTATTGGGAAATGTCTTTTTTTTTTTTTTTTTTTTTTTTGGGAAATGTCTTTTGTGTGAAGTGTATCATTGGGCATGTGGAGGTATTATTGATATGAGAAAATGCTAAGTAACTGATTTACTATCTGAAAAGGGATTTACTATTGGGGAAAGGGAGGGAAGAAGAGACTGAACATAAACTGCACCTATGGATGAGGACAATGGGGGATGGGGAGGGGGCGGAGGGTGGGGTGGGAACCTGGTGGAGGGGGGAAGTAATGAGGAGCCTTTGTAATAATATGAACAATAAAGATTGATTTAAAAAATAAATAAATAAAAAAATAAGATTACTGTTTCAAGTAATTGCTCTAGATGGAATTAAAAATGTTCCCACAGGTACTAAACCCTGATATTCTAAACAAATACGTTGTTCTGCAGATCTGTGGCATCCATTCGGCTGGAGAAAGTACTTGTAATGCAGGGAACAAGTCCATGTTCTGCTCCATCAGTTAATGATCAATTATATTTTGCAAAGTAATTCATAAGACATATTAGGTTATTCCAGGAGCAGCACAGCTGCTAACCTCTACATGGCCTTGCTGGCACGGCTAATCAACCCGAACAACACATGGACCATTTACTGAAAATATATATTATTTTTCTGTTTGGGATGGGGGGGGAGGGAGGCATTTGCTCAAATCTAAGCCTGTACATTAAATTCCAGCTTCGTCTCACACACACACACACACACACACACACACACACACACACACACACACAAAACAGTAGCTTGAAGGCAATGGAGCACAGAGATTGGAAAATGACCCAGCAAGCACTTATGAAGACAGATGTTGCCATCTACCTATTACATTGACATTTACCTGAATGAGGTTGGCAGCTGGATTCCTTCTTTTCTCAAAGTGTTTCTGGCGGTGCTGTTCTTGCACTTTTAATGCAAAACCCGAGCCAAGGATGCCCTGGAACAAAACACACAAATAGTACTTAAGTTTTTTTCTCTCCCAAGGCACTGTTAAAAATCACAAAAATTAAAAAAACAACAACAACACAACTTCTAAAAAGACACAGTATGTATGCAGCCTGTCCAGAAATATTAAAACAAACTTAACAAAACAAACACTATTCACTTCTATTATAATACCAGTGGCCAATGGCGAGTTTTTGGGCAAAACTGACTAGAAATATAATAACTTCTGTCCTTTAGTAAACCAACTAGGCACTGCCAGTTATTGTCTCTTATGGTGCGGTAGAGGCACCCTAATTACAAATAAAAATCACCATTTAAAAATGTCTTTTGTGTGCCCTCTCTAACACTTCTTTCTGCCCTAGTTAAAGGGTCCTACCCAGTGGTGGAATATGGACAGAGGTGGATATAAAATTTTGAAGCATTAAAGTCTTGCTGCTGTGGACATGGGGATGCTTCTAGCACTTTGATGAAATAACTGAATTTTCTATTTTCTACTTGTGAAATGGGGGAGGGGAGGAAAGTGTTTAAAAACTGTCCCAGTTTAGTTCTCATAACGCTATAATTCTGCATCTACCAAAATAAAGTGAGGACAGCTTTTCAGATGAGACAAACAAACGCTCAGTTTTCAAGACATGGAGAGTTTTCCGTTTTGCCTGTTTGTACAATAAAGTCAAGAGCATGGTTATTATTGCAAAGCACATTCCTGTTTCTCTGAGTTTTAACCTCACCCTTTTGGCATTCTTACCTTTTTTGGTTTTGGCTCACCTATTCAGATTTTGGGGAAAGTAAGATTAGTATGTTCCTCTTATGTTTGTGTTAATTTTTTGGCCTGGCTTGCTTCCTTCTGTGTGTCATCTTGATCTGCCAAAGTTCTGGATCTTTGAAATGCTCCCCTCTTCTCAGTTTGCTTTGGTCTAACACTATGGACTCAAGATGCTGTGTGTCAGCCTCATGCTGGCTTCCCGAGCTTGCTAAATTCAGTCTCTGGGCTTTGTAAGTCTCCAATTTATTGCCATGGGACTGGAACATCACTGCTTTCAAGTCTGTGCACTTTACTTGCTAGCTATAAATTATTAGCTTTTTATTAAACTTCAAGGAGTCTAACCCTTTGGTGAGAGATGGGTATCAGATAAACGCTAAGTCAGTATTCACCACAGATAAGGAATGGTTGTTTTTCTTTTCTTTATTTCTTTAAAGAAGCTCAAAGATGGTATCGGCTGCTTGGGAGGTGGTGGGTTTCTCTTCTTTAGGAGGTGGTAAGTCTCAGCGGGATGAAACTTGGCTAAGATATGTTTGGACTCTAGATAACCTTGACCCTTCCTTCTTATCTTGAGAAGCCACAATTCTGAGTATATCTGTGACAACCAGATAATAAGAACCGTGATTATAGTGGTCCCCCCAGTTATTCATGGGGATATGTTCCAAGACCCCCAGTAGATACCTAAAACCACAGACAGTACCTAAGCCTATATGTACTATGTTTTTTCCTATTCACACATACCTACAATAAAGTTTAATTTATAAATTAGACACAGTAAGAGATTAACAGCAACAGTGATAAAATAAGACAATTGTAACGATATACTGCAACCTAAGTTATGTGAGTGTGGTCTTTCACTCTCTGTCTGATAACTGATTTGATAACAGAGATGACTAAGTGACTAATGTGGGGGATAGGGTTTACAGCATGGATATGCTGGACGAAGTCCCAGGCAGGACGAAGCACGAGGACAGGAGATTTCATTACACTGCTCAGAACGGCATGCAATTTAAAACTTATGACTTGTTTATTTCTGGAATTTTCCATTTAATGTTTTCCAATCAAGATTGACCATTGGTAACTGAAACCACAGAAAGTGAAACCTTAGATAAGGGGGGACTACTGCATGTTTAAAATAGAGTTACATAATACTATTAATGAGCAATGATCAACTCTATTATTAGCTAGGGTAAATGACTGTCATAAAATTAGAAATTACGTCATAGGTTCTGTTTTCCATTTCTTTTTTAGAGACTGTCTCTTGCTAAGATCTTCATCTAATACCGCTCTGGTTGCACAAACTAAAACTTGATAAAAACCGGGACTGTATAGTCTTAGTCTTGTTTTTAGATTTAAACATTCCCTTCTTTTAAAGATTATAAAAATGGCCCTCCATTTTCAAATCCAGATAGACTACAGTATTCCTAACTCTTAATTTTTTTCTGCTATTTAAGATCATCTAGGAAAGATTTATTTTCCTTTTGATGTCAATTTTCATGAAGTACAAACATGAAAGAGAATAGGAAGCATTAGAATTTATAGTACATATTTATACTATGTATTATGTGTAAACCACTCATTTGCAGCCTAAGTCTGATTTTGTAGGTATTTCATTAATAGCAATAGCTACCATTTTGGAGCCCTTAGTTTGGGGGTTTGAGGTTCAGAATTAAATCCCTCTTGAAAAATGAAGACAGGTCCTACAATTCACAGACTAAGCATCTGCCAAACAAACGAAAATGTGCTGAAAATCCTATTGGCATTGCTTAGAAACATTAATAGTAAACATTTCCTCCCATCTCTTGTGCCAGACTGTACATTACTACTATTATTAAACCAGGTCTGCTGATCATCTCATGATGGCTCCATTCCAGTCTTCTTCTGCATCTCTGAGGATACAGCCTAGTGAACCTACTAACTGGAAGTGTGTTAAAATAAAGTCTATTATGTGGAGAGGCTGACCTGAACGCCTCTGTGATGTGCAGGAGAGTCCTTTAGCTTTGAGGGGAAGATGGGAAAAGGCTTTTCTCTTTCTTTGTCCTCAGGTTTCCTGGGTGGGAGAAACCTCAAACCACGGTGGCCCATAATCCACCTCTAACTTTCCTAGCAAAATGCCAATGCGCTATCCTAAATCTCAGACAACACGTCGGCCAGTGGGTGCACAGACATAGTGGCAATTCCAGTCAGTCACCTTAGCTTTTTTAAGGTATATATGAAGAGTTTAGTCTTTCATTCAATATATAAGAGCCTGGCTGGTGTGGTCCAGTGGTTGAGAATTGACCAATGCACCAAGAGGTCACTGGTTGGAATTACCGGTTGGATTCCGGTCTGGGCACATGCCTGAGGTTTCGGGTTGATCCACAGAAAAGAGTGTGCAGGAGACAGCTGATCAGTGTTGCTGTTTCTCTCTCATCATTGATGTTTCTATATCTCTCTCTCTCCCTTTCCCTTCTTTCCAGCTCCTGGAGGTGTGGTGACCCTAACACTAAGTGGGGCCAGGTCTTCACACATTTGGAACACTTATGTCTGCTTGCTTCGTACAGATTTTCTATTCTTTCCCTTGTTAGTCTTTGACCATCTCTTCCTGTTGGTTCTATCAGCCTACTTTTACATTTGCTGTTTATAATATTCAAGGAATTGTGAAACTATCAAGTTTTCCTCTAAGTTAAGAAAAGTTTATGCATAGGTCTTAAGAGGCTCGCTGATGAGGACAGCACATATACTATTATTGATTCTGACAGCCCAGAAGTTGCCTTCTTCCCTGTTGGAAGGTTTTCACTGGATCAGAGTTGTTACACATGTGGCCTCAGGTTAAGTATAAACACAAAAGCAGCAGGTGTTTTGTGCCATTATTTTGGGGAAAAAGCCCAAGACTGCATTCTATTTACAGAATAAAATAGGAAATCTGCTTATTGAGCAAATTGCTACTCTGTTCTAAACTGTTGAGGTAAACAGGTAAGTTGACTCTGGATAAGTCAGATGCTGTTTTTCTCTCCTTGATTTTTTTTTTTTCATTTCACAACAGGAAACATACATCTGGATTCATATAGAATTTTTTTTTTATGACAACCACTGGACTGATATTATCACATAGGTCTTCATAAAATTTCTTAGGGTATAATAATTCTTCATTACATAGATGAATAAATGTACCCAAGGTTACTGTTATGGGCTGAATGGCTTCCCTCTAAAATTCATTAAGTTGGAACCCTAATCCCTACTACTTCAGACGCAGACCCTATTCGGAGACAAGGTTTTTCCAGAGGTAATTAGATTATAATTAGGCCATTGGGGTGGTTCCTTATTCAATAAGACAGAGTTCTGAAAAGATTGGGACCCAGATGTAGAGAGAAAGACAACGTGAAGACTCAGGGAGAAGATGGCATCTACAAACCTAGGAAAGAGGCCAGCATTATTCTCTCCTAGCCCTCAACAAGAACCAACGCTGCCATCTTCTTGATTCTGGACTTCTAGCCTCCAGAACTGTGAAACGATGCGTTTCTGCTGATTAAACCACTCAGTGTGTGATACTTTCTTCCAGCAGCCCTAGAGAACTATAATAGTCACACAGGTAGCTAGTGACAAAACTAGAATTCCAAATGAAGTCTCCTGCTCAAGCTCCTGCATGGTCTTTCAGTCCCTTCTCTGTGATTCTGTGTGGTCTGTGCAGAACCAGCTGGTTGATCTGGAGTAGGCAATGGCCACGGGAAGGAGGAGCCCCCCTGCACTTGTTCACAGGCACAGAAGGAGCCCGTGAGCTCAAGGCCATGGAGCTGAAAATCCCCACTCGCCTGGCTTCCCTTGGAGGGGTGCCCTGGGCTCTGCTAGGCAGAGACTGAGGAGTCAGAGACCAGGGCTATTTTTCCTTAAGCATGGCTGCTGCCACTCCTTTAAAAACTCCTTCTTGTGGGCTCCGTCCCTCCATCAGGGATGGCATGAAAAAAGTGAGAGCGTGTGGGTGAAGGCAGATTGTAATAGCTTGACCAATTTCCTTTAAGGAAATAAGAGGAGACACAATGATTAGAAAGATAAGCTTCATCCATTAAGGAGAAAATAATCAGAAACTTGGGAGAAGATAAATGTGATCTCCACTCTGATAAGATGCAGAAACTGCTCATTACGAAAAATCAATGATGATGACACAACGGATAAATCATCTGATATAATGAAAACCCTTTAAGGTCATGTGATTTTCACACAAATGGACTGGGAGAAGTAAATACTCCACTTGTGTACATCCTCCTCCTCAGCTGCACACAGTACGAACCAAACTGGAACCATCGGTTTAAAAAGAAATTTTGTGGTCTTTACAAATATTCTAAATGTATTAGTAGCATGTTGACTGAGAGGTGATGCTATCTGAATTGTTATTTGGTCATAAAGAGTTAGGTGCTATAAAATTCCCAGGTTAAGCGTCTCCAAGAGAAGACTATATTTTATACATTGTCCACTTGGGTATAGGCGGAAAACTCAACATCATATCAGGAAAAAATATATTTGTATATGATATAGATATGTTCCTGGGCATATCAATTTCTGAACGCTCATACTAATAAACCTCTAAGAATTTAAACTGCTTTATTTTTGCGAAGATACTCACGGCAGGAAGTGCAAAGAAAGAAATGCCAAGGAGCGCAAAGCCTGCAGAAAGCAATCTTCCCAGCCAAGTTAGGGGAGTTTTGTCTCCATAGCCAATCGTTGTCAATGTAATCTAAAAACAAAATAAATAGAACGTGCAGCTTAAGTACGTGAGAGGAGAGTCAGGACCTATGAACAGGAGGCAAAGCGACGTTTCCACTAAATCAGTATTCAACAAGTTCTTGTTGGCTCATTTTATTACTGTGCTTTAATTTTCCATGACGCATAACAGAACATCTCTTTGTTTAAGATAGGGAATAATCTACATACTTGTTCCTGCTTTATAACACAGTTTTCCATCTTTTCTAAGTGCATTCAAAGAAAGGTTATTTAAGTGAGTGGATAACCATCAGTGATGCAGAAATGATAGCACCGTGGATTTAGGATTGAATCAGTACACAAAACAGTAATTTATGTTAATTATGGCTGTTCATTTATTACCTTGGCAGACACCTTCTAAAGTTCTGGTGTGTGCAAGGTGCATGTTAAGATTTGTAGTGGAACAAAAACAAGAGGTATATAGTTCTTGTCCTGAGATATTTATGGCATAAGAGGGGAGACATGTCACACACAAATCATTAAAACAAAAAAGCAAGGCAGGTATTATTATGGATGCACAGTTAATCTGCCATGAAAATTCAGAGAATAGATGATTACCAGCTTGGGTGGTTGAAGAGGCTTTACTGGGAGATGTTATTATACCTAGGCTTTGAAGAAGGATATATATATCCTTTGGATATATATATCCTTTGGATTATATATTAGAGACCCGATGCACAAAATTTGTGCATGGGGTCAGGTGGGGAAGGGATCCCTCAGTTCAGCCTGTACCCTCTCCAATTTGGGACATTTTTCTCACAATCTGGGACCACTGGCTCCTAACTGCTCACCTGCCTGCCTACCTGATTGCCCCTAATCACTCTGCCTGCCTGCCTGATCACCCCTATCTGCTTTCCCCTGCTGTCTGATCACCCCTAACTGTCTCTGCCTCAGCCCCCATCACCGTGGCTTTGTCTGGAAGGATGACTGGAAGATGTCCAGTTGACCCGGTTTAATTAGCATATTACCCTTTTATTAGTATAGATTAGTTAGCTTAGGCAGCCATAACAAAGTGTCATAAATTTGTGTGGCTTAAACAACAGAAATGTATTTTTCTCACAGTTCTGGAGGCTGGAATTTGGGGTCAGGGTACTAGCATATGTACCTCCTGGATCATAGATCGATGATCAACCACTGAGCCCCACCAGCCAGGACCCGTTTTTATCAATATCAGGCACAGGAGGTACATTGACAAGATTTCACTCTTAGACAAAAGTCTGAAATTTCCCGAAGTTTTCTGGATATGAATTCATTTCTGCCGATGGGATGCTCTTGCACAATATTTTGAAGGCAGAAGTGGGACAGAGGCATTTTTCCTCAGTTTGGGCTCTTTGCTGATGGTGACCATGTTTGCAGAGATATGGAGGTTTTCTGCAGCAGAATCCAGGCTGTGCTCAGGCAGTTGTGCCAGAGGCAGTGCCTAGTGACCTGTTTTGTGGGAGCTGGAGGGCACTTGTGGGGGCAGCAGTTTTCTGATCCCCAGGTCACAGCTGTGCCAGAGTGTCCTAGGATTCAGTTGTGACTGAGGGGGCAGCTCTTCCTGCTGGGCAGAGAGTCTTTTCTGGGGGCCCAGCCTAATACCCACTCCTCCAGCTTTCCAATGATTTCCCAATCACTAATTCCCTGTGCTAAATTCTTTTCTGCCTAAAATAGCAAAGACCTAAAAACATTTGGGTGCTCTACTTTCACTGAAAACAATGCTGCACAGGATCAGGTCTGGGAAGTGGGTGAGGTGTTGTGGAAGGCTCCCCTTTTGAGTCTCAGCTTCTTCTTCTGTAGAACAGAGACCAAAGATTATTATCTGTTCACTAGAGGCCAAATGCACAAAGATTCATGCAAGAATGGACCTTCCTTCCCCTGGCTGCCGGCACCACCTTCATGTCAGCCTGGAGCTGCCTTTCTGCCTTCCCATTCTGCCCAGAGGCCTGAAGCAGCTGGGGTGGTATGGAACACCTGCATCATCACCATGGCAACAACACAAGTGTCCCACCCCACCCCCAGCCACTCAAGCCTGTGTATATAAATTAACCCACCACCTTTGTTGGGTTAATTTGCATACCCACTCCAGATTGGTTGGTCGGTGTTGTGAAGGTACGGTCAATTTGCATCTTTCTCTTTTATTAGTGTAGATAGTTACTAAAGACTGTGGCAGCTATGTTTCCCAAAGATGGCCACAAGAGTTCCTATCCCTCCTGTGGCCTTAGGTTGTTATGGTCATGACGGCATTATAGTCTCTGGCTATATATATATATATATATATATATATATATATATATATATATATATTATATATATTCACACATAATATGTTTTAAAGAACGCTTGTTTCTTTCCAATCTATTAGTCCCCCAATTGCTCTCTCAGTCTTTGCTTTTGCCTCTCTCCAATTCCTTCTCCACATACCTGCAAGGAGTATCATTTTCTTGTTGTTTTCTAAAAATCCTTCAATGGCAACTAATTGAATTCAGAATAAATTCTAAGATCCTAACTATGTCCTACATGATCAGGTCTCTGCCTACCTCCCCAAGAACATCCTGATTTCACCCTTGCTCACTACCCCTTAATCACAGTGTCCTTTCAGATGCTCAAACAGGCCAGTGAATTTCTGCCTCAGGGCCTCTGCACATCCGTTTACCTCAGTTTCAGATCCTTGTTTCTTAATAGCACTTGTCATTAGTGGTAGTTCACTGTATTTTTCTTTGGTGGAAGGGCTCTTATTTCCTTTACTAGAAGGAGGAACCATGTCTTTAGTCTTTGTTATCTCCCAAATATCTAACATAATGCTTGCCACAAAGTAGAAGGAGCTCAGTGAATATTTAGTAAATCAGTGAAGAATTCTTTCAAGAATATTGGTGACAAACATAGGGAGGGTGAGCACTCCCTGAAATCCCTGACTTGAGGAGAGGCTTTCTAGGATGTAAGTGCAGTTGTCTGCAGAGAGGATGAGACTGAAGGGGGAAGGGGTGATCACGGCTTTATGTTGGGGTAAGGTACCAAAGAGTTAGAGGAAGAAGAATCAAGGGTACTGTTGGAAGGGTTAGCCTAGGTAGTGTGAAAAGACACCGATTACACACTGGGGAGGAAATGTGGATGGACACAGTGGGGGAGGAGGGCAGGACTGGGAAGGTTCTAGTCAGTTCCCTTCAATTCCAGTGAAGGAGACGACTGGATTACCTGTGGGGAGGAAAAGGCTTGTAACAGAGGAAAAACTTGGGCTGTGAGAATGTGGGAGGGGTCAAGTACAAACCAACCAGAAGCAGAGGGACTTTGCCATCCAAGGTTGAAGAGAGGGACTTTGTAGCGGAACCCAGTGACCAAGTTAATAAAATGCCACCCACAATATCTGTAGGGGACTCTCAAAGGGATTCCTTGGGTTTCCAAAAAAATATCTGGCTCAATTTTATTACAGTTTCCCAATCTTAAATCTATGGAAAAGATTTTAATCTACTGTACTTTTCCTACAAAATACCTTAATCCTATTACAACCGTTTATTAATTGTAATAAACCGAAGGAAAAATTTCATAGTTTGGTCACAGCCATAATGTCACATTTCACGGTTTGCTTTACATTCTCATAACACATGCGAATTGTTCCCCTGGGCCCTGTGCTGAGAGAGTGGGTTTTAAACCACTGCCTCTAGCTCAGAGGAATGACACATGGCCAAGTGATGACATGCTCAGTGCTGCTTTCCCAGTAGAGGAAAGCCTGCTCTCTCATTCTCAGAGGGTTGCCCTCAGTCTTCAAGGTGGTTTGTGGGGGAAAAGAGAGTTGTGAACTTTGAGAGCAGCACCCTGGAGTCCCTCTGTGGGCAGCAAAGACTCTGGCCACCTTTTCTGCCCTCTGGTTCAGATTTCTGGGTGATCATGTCTCATCATGTGCAGGAGACTGGGATGACCAGCTGCAGGGCCACAGCAACTTCCTCCACTCCGATTTCAACATCTCTCTGGTGTTGCTTGGTTGCAAACACAGGGCCTTTTGCTGCCAGGCTAGGTTTGAGAAGGATCTGCCAACGGACTGGCAGTATGTCCCTCTCTCTGAGCCAGGGAGGGGACTGCTGGGGGTTTCATGGGCGCATCATTTCATTTCTTGTGGCTAAAGGGGGGCTGCTGAGCTTTCTGATGTGAACAGAGAGACAGCAGCAGACATGAAATTAGGACATTTCTAAGATAAACGTAAAAAAAAAAAAAAGATGGGGAGGCTTCTCAATAAATTCATGCTGGCCTGTCGGCTCCATCTAGCTGCTGCCTCTCTAAGGCAGTGGTTGGCAAACTGCGGCTCGCGAGCCACATGCAGCTCTTTGGCCCCTTGAGTGTGGCTCTTTCACAAAATACCACGGCCTGGGTGAGTCTACATTGAAGAAGTGGCATTTGAAGAAGTCTAAGTTTTAAAAAACTTGGCTCTCAAAAGAAATTTCAATCGTTGTACTGCTGATATTTGGCTCTGCTGACTAATGAGTTTGCCGACCACTGTGAGTCTAAGGCAATGCCTGGCTGCATTTGGTAAAACCATCCTCAGATAAGGCTTGCATAGGTGTTCACTGATTTTCTGGACTTTCAGGTCAAGCTGTCCTTGAAGTACAAGTGCGTCTCCTTGGGACAGTACAACTACACTATGTTTCTTGTCTTAGCACTTGGAAGGCTCTGCTAATGGTTATCGGCAGGCCCTCAGCCCATGCACTGGAAGCAGAAGCCCTTTTGGTGCTAATTCTCCTGCCCTGATGCTGAACAGTAGACCCATGGCTGTCTCCCAGAGACCTTGGGAACCTGTCAGTGGCTGGGCCCGGCAATGATTCCTTTCCCATGGATCTGAAGTCAGAGGAAGGTGGGTCTGCACAGGACCCAAAGGCACCAGCTCCTCAGGGAGCTCCTGGAGCAGCAGCTTGTTTCAGGGAAGCTTGAGAGGCCATGTACGTGAACTTCAGGGGACCACAGAACATCACACCTGGAGGGAATCCACTACAGTGGGCATAATTC